CGAGTTTTTGCTGGTACTTAGGCGGAAGGGATTGAATGAATAATGGGTTCGCGAAGAAATTGGGATTTCCTTGAGCAGGGTTGGATGAATTAGTGGGTGTGGGGATTGAGTGCACGGAGGTGTTGCCTGGGGTCGTAGGGGTGTTTTGGAATGGGCCGGTGAAAGATAGGGTGCGTTATTTGCTGTAGGAGAGGGTGGATGTGGAGGGGAGCGCGAGGGGCTGGCAGTTGGTTGGCGAAGGGGGGAAGATTTCGCGAGATGGCGGGGGGCAGTGGAGGTGTGTGAGGAGGAGGGGGGGCAGGAAAAGCCTGCCGCCTGGAGCGAGGTGAGGGGTTGGGGTAAACGGAAGGAGGTGGGGGAGAGGTCTTCTTCCGGGTCCTCTTTTTCGCCGGCATGGTGCCGTACGAAAATAAAGGGGGAGATGTTAATATAGGGGAGAGAGTGCAGATGCAGGAGGGTATTGGGGAGAATGCAGGAGAGAAAAGCTTCAGAAACAAAGGTCCTTAAGAGGTAATTAATAAATCAGGTACAGTATAAAAGAGAGGGATATGTCTTATAAGGACAATTTGCTGGTTGCCGGGACAAAGAGCCCCGACAGATGGGGTGAGGGATTGACCTGACCGAAAAAAAGCACGGTGAGGCCAAGCTAGATTTAGGCAAGGGTTCTTATAGGTAGCATTAGCATGATTAATTCATGAACTCCATGAATTTACCTCATTTAAAGAGATCATAAATGAAGAAATGACAACTTCGACTGATTGCCTTTATGAGACATGATAAAATATATAAGGAGAAACTATGCATTTCTATGAAGGACGAATTTAGAGAAGGGTGGAAGGGTACTTTTGGTACTGTCTGGAAAGCGAAAACCATGCTGCCACCTAGTGGTCTAGATGAGAACTTCAATTCTCGAATAATTTCAAGTGCAATTAAGGCGTATTGGATCGTGTCATCCGTTTGATATGGAATCAATGAAGGCAAGGTAATATTAGGGAGACAACACTTCGCCAAAATTGGCAATATTGGCGAAGCAATTTTGCTTGCAGCCAATATATGTCGAATTTAATTGCAAGACAATCTGGAGCCTTAATTGGGCCTGTGTCTTTCGCCAATGTTACGCCAATAATGTGAAACCAGACTAATCCCATGAATGGGTCTGTTCCTTTTGCCAATGAAATGCCAATAATGGGAAACCAGCCTAGTGCCAAGAAAGGGCCTATGTCCTCCGCCAATGAAGTGCCGAAAAATGACTAGCCACGCTAGAGCCAGGAATGGGTCAAACATGTCTGCCAATGCCGATGATCTGCCGAGCTTGCCATGCAGGGGCCATTGTTGGGCCAAGCTTTTTGGTTATGTGGGATATTTCATAGCGTGGATACCAGAAGATGCTTCATAGCAGGACATATCACAACGAACGAATTCTTTTGAATGTCTGCGTAGAAGATGAAACATGGCTTTCCTGCTCTCGAGTATCAAAGATGTGGAAAATCTTCAAAATAAGCTTCATCTGGAATGAAAGGGCACCTACTTGTGTTGCTTTTTGAGAAGTCCCATCTCATGCTGCTTGAGAACCAGCTGTTGTCTCAGTGCTTCAAGACTTGTTGTTCCACTCTCCACTGCTGCCAATGCTGTGCTACTACTTAATTCCAGCTCCTGCAAACACCAATTACTTCATGAGATATCAGCCCAGGAAAGAAGAGATTTTCCATTTCCACATGTTTCAATCAGATGCAACTAGGGTTGTAAAATTACCGGTAAGGGAGAGGGCATTACTTATCGGTATTTTCCCAGTGCATTACCACAAGAATACTCCAAGAGAGCCATATTAAGCAAACTTTTTTTTTTAAGTCTCAATGTCCTCTTTTGTAACCCATACATAGCTAAGGCAACATCCCACTTTGGAAATATTGAGAGACAAGCTTGACAGAGAACTCTAGGGATGTAGATGCAGAGAGTGATGCTGGATCTTTTCTCTTTTCGGCATACTAAGCACCAAAAAAAGGCCAAATCCAACCCAAGCCAAAATGCGCGAAAAGTATAGGTAAAATATTTCAAATATGTAAATTAAATGCCTTAGATGTCAAAGCCTGACTTCTAAGTTTCAAAATGCATACTAATTCAAGAGGTTAGGTTTGCGAGACCCTTTTCATGAAGCAGATCACGATGGAACTGCTAAAGAAGAAGCAGTATTTAGATCGCAGGCGAAACAGAATCACCTTTCATCCTTTTCATCCTAACCTTGGAAACAGTCTGGCTGTTTAGTTGCAAGCATCGTGAATGATATGGTCTTTGATAGTGCTTCGTTAAGCAAAGCAGAATGCTACTTTTGAAAATTATACCAAAAATGATACCATCGGTGGGGTATCCCTGACCAGGGAAAAGAAAATCGCCTTGATTCCTAAGCCCCATCTTAGGCAGAGCTATGCATGGATCTACTATTATCGAATTCGTTCCCCAACAGGAAGGGGAATGAGCAGAGCCGTAGGGCATGTGAGGAAGTCAAATCAGTTACGTCCCAGACGTGTTTCTCTGATACAGTGCTATATATGGACGACTATTGCTGTTTTGTCCCACAGAAGGCCTACCGGGATGACAGCTATGGCCATATTTTCCGCCAACGTGTTAAGGACTCCTAATGAGCTTCTTTGGATTGTTTAAAATCCGTTCAATCAAATTCCATTCTTTCTAAACAGCAGTCCATTCTGAACTTTATAATGTTTCCTAAACCTACCCAAACAGATTGTAATCTGATTCAGAAAGCCTGTTCCAGGCTGAACCAATAATTATTACATTTAAACTCACCTCTGCTATGAACGCGAAAATGATCATTTTAAGTCTAAGACTGAATTTGTTTCAGCCTAGGTACACTAGAACTTGAAGCTGTTCAGTGTAAGAAGCACCATGAGCACACCACTTAATGCACTGTAGTAATTGGGGCCGTCGTTTACGAGTTACGTGGAAGGCACATTATCAACAAAAATTTTGGCATGAATCATATTTGTGAGCCTAGTATGCCAAGTCTCATATCATAATTACCACGATGTCTACTGCATTAACTAAAACTCTTGGAAGCTTCTTAAGTTATACATTAAAAGTAACCATTAGCCTTGATGCACATTTATTAAGGGCACAGGTGTGACATTTCAGATAGATTGACCCATTTAAGTGAGGGAATAAGATGAGTTAAAACATCAAAACCAGGATCATAGGTTTCATTCAAAATTTTACACGTTACCATCACCTAGTATAGAGGTTAGCTAAAGGTGTACCTGGAACACACTTGGCTCAGTTAAGCGCATCAAGGAATTATCATAGACAAGAATGTTTAAATGCTTCACTCAGACTGGGACAACTCAATATGGGCTGTTCCCACTCTCCATATCAATAGCATCTTTCCCTTACTGCAAGGATGGGTGTACGAGAAAATATTTTTTTTGCCTCCTACTCACTAGTAGGAAGTAGCTTCCCATCATAATAGTGAGAAAATGTACAGCCTCATTTATTATGAGGCAAATTATTATTACTCAGTGCACATGATTCTGCCACCAAACATGTTCTGCATGCCTGTGCATCAATGCTAGCAATGGCCAACCAGAAAGCCTCTTTGCCCTTGGTCTTATGAGCATTGATATACAGTTAAAAACTCAACAATGGCAAAACAGCAAAATGGTTTGAGGGAAGAAAAAAAGGAAGTTGGTGTTATCAGTGTTATAATTGGGAGATGAGGGTCACCTCCCACTCCTGGGGTCTTGAATTGCTACATTCTATGAACTTGAAACTTTATTTGATTTTTTTTTTCAAACATGATAGGGAGTTCTTGTTCCACATTCCATCAATAAACTCCTTATTGGAGGTTCTTCAGGAAATTAATTAGGCTCCACAACATTTCCATTTACATGGAGTATTAGGAGAGTTTTCTTTGAAAAGGCTCATCATATGGCCTTGATACTCTTAACAATTTAATGACATGTTGCTGGGTTATTAGTGTATCAACTTTCATTAATAATGGTCAACTTCTTGGTGTTCCAATTTCAATGACAGTGTCTACAAGGGGTCATTGATAAGTTCCTGGATTGCTTCTGATATTTTTTCAGCATTTGATGTACAGATGTCTCTTCCTGTAAGTATCTTGGGGTAGATCTTGTGGGTGCATGGGCAGAATTTCTTGCTAATTACGTGGGTCGTCCCAAATGTTCGAGAACAAACGGGAATATTTTCTTTGCATGTGATCCAGTAGCAACGGTCTCATCACAGTGTTCATATTAATGTCTCATGGTGCTAATGTAGGAATGATCGTGTAACTGCTCCTTCCTGTTGCAAAGATATCGCATTTTTAAGTAGACCTACATTTTACCACTATGTAAGAAGATGATCGGGTCCAGCAAGGTGAGATTTGGTTTCTGTGGAAACAGAGAAAGTCTCAGGTCGTGAGCTGCAAGAAGTTTACAGGGACAGACCTTTCAGGAAAAGTGCCATAAATAAGCAGATGCATCGCTTTGAAGCAGAATGGATTCCAGTGGATGATTCGCCAAGGGCGACCTGACCTTGCCGCACGCTTGGAGCATGCTCCTGCTGTGAACCAGTGGGTTCAAGTGACTCCAGCAAACTGGTTTGTTGAAAGACTTGAGAAGCTGATGGAACAGTAGCAGAAGTGTGTGCAGCAGCATGGGAAGTATATTGAGAAAGTTCACTTGGAAAAATGATGCATTTGGTGTTTCAATTTGATGTAGAACCAAATGTTCTCGAACTTTTGGGATGACCCACATAGTTTTCATTTTTTAAGAATTTTTCTCCAACGAATATTGGAAGAAAAAAAAGAGAGGAATCTGCTAAAACCAAAATGGAAATTCATAGCATTATGAAATTTATTGCAAAATTTGGAAAATGTGCAAAAGAAACTTGTAGTTTGTCATGTGTTGCTACTTTTGGAGCAGATGTTCCAGATTGCCGAATGATATTGGACAAGCAAAGTACTATTTAAGTACCTAATTACTACCTAATTAATTACAAAGAAGGCAGAGACAGCCCAAGGTTGAGTCAACCATCAATATGGATTGAGGAAAGGAACAAAATTGAAAGAAATCCAACAGAAAACTTAGAAAGTGGGCTCCCTGAAACATGGAATTATCAATTGGCAGCTTTCAAAAAGTTTACTTCAGGTTTCATTCCTCAGCTAATGATTACTCTAATCTTGGGGTTACTCCTTTCAAAGGTCTTGTTTCTTGCAAATTTCTGCAAGGTTCCAGGGGCCTGACATAAAAAAAATTCTAAGAAAATCTCAAAGATTTTCCAAAATCTGCCTCATGACAAACCATCTGGAGAGATGACACAAGGCTGACACAAAGGTTGGTGCCATCCTTGAGCCCCATCAATCTGATATCAAAACATTGAGCCACAAAATGTCCACTTGGAATGGGCAAGATATGGTTTTTTGTGAGAAAATAAATTCAGGCCATCAGCACCAACAAAATTGAACTTCTTTTCATATGGAAGCACCACCTCTTCCCACTAGTCTGCCCAGAACATTACTTTCTTTGCCCATTCCTTTGGACATTTTGTGGCTCAATGTTGGCATAGGTTCAATATCACACCAATGTATGCAGCCTTGATGTTATCCATGAGCCCTCTCCAGACGGTTGGTCATGAAGCAGACTTCAGAAATTATTTAAATTTCCCTGTGGACATATCTTTCTGAGTTCACAACCAGAAATACTCATTTTTGCTTTCATTAGACCACTTCGGCTCTTGACTGCTTGTTTTATCGCTACTAGTATTATCTCCTTTGGTCAACACATTTTGAATTGCACCTCTTGATCAGCTTAAGCATTTCCCTCTGGGATCTTTGTTGCACATGAAACATCCGAATTTTGCTCAATGCCACTTCCATGAGTTTCAATACATGAGACATCATCACTAGACCCTGAGGCAATCAAAAATCAAACTCATTAATATGAGTGTTACACTGACTCAACTCACCTGACAGGAAATCAGCTTGAACCTTCTTTGCATTACTTACTCAGTTTTTTATAAGTGGACTTAGAGACTTAGCAGTTTTGCAAAATATTCTAGTTATTCCTTAATTTCAAGTCTGATTTCTAATTAAATTTTCAATACAAGTTAATCTCAGTGCAACAATGAACCATGAATTGTATTTTTTTCATGTGGAAAATTTGAACATGTAGATGGACTTATAAATATGGACAGGATGGTATGGTCAACAAGCATGCAATAGGGAAAGTCACACAAAGGAATGGAAAAGGAGGATAAAACCTTTTTTTGGACAGCAAATTCTTCCTGGAGTTGCTTGATTTCAGTTTTTTGAGCAGCATTCTCCTTCTCTCGCAGATTCTGAAGGATTTCTATCTCCTTGGCATGAAGGCATCGTTCTCTTGCCAATTCAGCCTCATAACGACCTACTGTGGCCTGCATATCCAGCTCCTTTTCCTAGAAATGTATTGAGAACCTCAGCTAGGTTTACATGAAGCCATATCTTGAAAGCATATCTTAAATACCAGATCTTCAAATGTTGGAAGATTGCTCTTTGTACCATGCTGGGAGTTTCTTGCACCTCCACACTTTGCTTGAAACATCAGAACATTCTTAAACAAAACCTTTCCAGAGCATTGGATTGGTAGGGGAGGACCTAAAAAAATGACCTGCTCATTCCCCAAATTTAACCCCTTTGGACTTTTATCTTTGGGGCTTTTTGAAAACAAAAGTCTATCATTACAAGCCAAGGGATCTCCAGGAGCCTTCAGGAAACTTCAGGAGTCAGGAGAGTTAGTGATATCAAGAGGCGATTTCGCCCATTTCGATATCACGTGTCGAGGTCGAGCGTTCCTTAATTTTTGGGTAGGCCTAACCCTCTTAAAGCTAAATATTTTTGTATTTTTGTATATATATATTTTTATTTATTTTTTTTTTCCTATCCTAGTTGCTTACTGTCTAGTACCTACGTCAACATTGCCCCCCACCTTTTTGCCTGTCCATGAAAGCATCTAGTTTCTTCTTAAAGATAGTCACAGAAGGGGCAGCCACTACTTCGTCATCTAACGCATTCCACGCGTTCACCACTCTGCAAGTAAAGAATTCCTGTCTCGACCTGAGCCGCACCTGCGGTTTGCGCAACTTAAGTCGGTTACCTCTCGTTCTCTTGCTGTCATCAAACTGGAAAAACCTACCACACTCGACATTATC